GATGCTCCACTTTCTCATCAACACCCTTCACAACAAAATACTTCTAAAATAACAAACTGAAGATAACGCTCATTTTTAACAGCAACAAAGAACTACATTTCCCCCTCCATTTTCACTTCTGCCTACCCTTTACTGAAAAACGGGTATGACGTCATGTCACGTTAATTTCAACGGGTACATTGTAACTACTTGGCAGTTTTATAAAGTAGCAGTTTATTTTTGGAAACGTCGTTACGGTGCCCATCACAGTAAATTGTTTTCACGAACGTACTCTTCGCCTTCAGGTAATTACCGTTTAAACAACGTTCATAGTCGGTACATTCTGTAGGTGAACTTCTCCTTAGAATAAAAAACCCGAGCTTTTAAAATAAGTCTTGATGTTGGTCTCGTTTCAAGTATCATTTCTTAACAATAAGTCTTTTACAGATCTAGGGCTGAAAGTGATCTTGTTTCACAGATATTTACAGTTTTTGTCTGAGGCATTCACACAAGGGACCTCAGGTATATCACGATCAGTCGCTGTAATAAACGTACGAAATCGTAAACCAGCTGAACAAATACAAATTAAAAAGGCATTTGGATTTCCAAGTCAGGTCCGTGTAAATTCGGCGCGCGACTAAGGATAATTTAATTCCTCCATTCATGGAGGTGCGAATTTGCAAGTGCGTATCGGAGGGCGCGCCGCCGCCCCCCGAGCCCTCGGCGCCCGCGACCCTCGCGATGACGTCAACGGCCCACCGCGCACCACCCGATTATAAATAGCCACGCTACAGGTTTCGGCCCTTATAGCATTCAATGTTCTTACATTAGAAAGGCTAAAATATACTGGAGACTAGTTATTTCGTATTTATACCTATGTATAATTACTAACTTGGCCCGCATTACCGGGATGAAAAGTACTATAATATTTTTGTGACCATCTTTGTCCCTTAATTCAGATTCATTCAGTAGCTTATAATATTATTAGGATAGGATAGATGTCTTCACAATTGTCCGAATTAATCTGAACCAAAGATTTATATTTCCTCCATTTGTGGGCGGATGACGTAGAATAAAAACGTGTAGACTGTAGCCGTGTACAGTGTAGATCCATTCAACAATATTAATTTCGTTAATAAAACATGATAGAGATCTAATGAGATTGTTATCTGGTATTACACGAACAAAACGTCTCTTGTTCAAATTGTTTCCTTTGAAACAGTAATCAACAAATTGGATAATTTGATTTGGCTAGCCAATAACTCTTCCTTTAAAAGCCTACTTCGCCCGTCGCCGTGACCCTTTAAAATTTGAAAGTTAAGCCAAGTAGAAGAATTTGTATGATATTGGAGTGTGTAAATTGTAAAGAAGAAGTGGAACCATATCGTCTGCTGTACAAGAGCTGAATACTTTCTAACAAATTCAGTGCCAACGTAACAGCGCGCCGAGTACACTGCGGATAAACTTTTTAACCTCAAATCACCGCCAATTTCGTTCCAAGTATCTTTGGGCAGTAGTTCTTACGTGTATATCCAAGATCTTAAACATTGCATTGTACAGATATAGCATGTTTTCATGTGCATTAACTCGTTGAGTACCGTCATTATAGACACAATTATAGAACAATAGGTTGCGGTCACCGGTGACCGCTCGGTGTTTGACAGTTTAATCCTCTTTCAATAAAAAAATCATTATCCTTGTAGAAGTGCGCGATACATGGACTGACATCAAAGATAAAGGAGGTCCTGTTGAATATAAGTCTCATCTGTTGACTTGGAAGATCTTCTAGAAGTATGGAAGGAAAAAAGAAGTAAATTCTTTCGTGTCAAAAACACACGCTGGCTTTGTTGTCCATACTTAGTTCCCAGCAATTTCAGTATATCTTACGCTTTCCTAAATTGTTTTTGTTGAACAAGACGACTACGTCAAGAAAATAGGTAGCAACGACCTCCTGTCTGGTAATAACAGCAAGCTCTGATCAGTTGTATATTTGTACCTATGCTAAGACTAGTTCTTACTACATTTTTTTCTAGACTTTCATAGGATAGCCACTTGTAGGCAGCCGTAGATCGTAAGTATACACTACAGACAAATAGAATACTTCTAGAAAAATGTAGCCATTTCTGAATAATATGTCGTACAGCTAGTACCAGCTACTACTAACTAGTATTATTAAACATGAATGATTGTCTGGTGTTCACGAAAACCTATTGAAGATTTTACAAAATTGGTATATTTATCGGGTTAAGATTGTACTGCAGTGCCGCTATTACTTTCCCGACTGATTAAAGATATCGAGACTTCGTGTACTAGTGACAGTCGACCAATTGAACAGGCTCCGAAACTACTAGACTGATTTGAAAAATCATTTTACTATTGAAATCCTACATTATCCGTAATAAACATAGATCATATTTGAATAGAGGAAAAAAACGGTACCGTGTATAAATTTCGATAATGTATCCTGATGTATGACAAATCTACTGAAAAGATTTTTAGAAAGCCTAAGTTCTGCCAGAAGTCATTGTTCTACGCACACGGAGTCTCGGGGAACAGCCAGTAAGATATACATATATCTATTGCTCTACTCTACACTACTAAAATTCTAACCCAAATTCAATTCCAATTTTAGAATTCCATGCCAAAACTGGTTATAACGAGGACTCGTTTGATGTCACATATTCTTGTGACATGGTTTACTACCATTATCAAATGTAAGTTTTACTGCTATTGTAAGTAATACAAAAGAAGTTATTTTTCCATAGTCCATAGTTATTTTTATCTGAACAAGAATCGCCGATGGTTAATCATATGGCAACAAAATTATTAGTACAAGATTTGCATTAGAGATGATTAATACAGCTCATAACTCATCAATATTCATAAGCGTATGTGATCATAGAAGCTCTCTCAGTTTCCACTGAGTAACCATATATTTCGTAACTGACGTTCGGTTAATTTATTTGTATGGGTGCTATTAAGGATTCTAACTCCTAATTATTTTATACCAAAAATAAAATTACTAATCGAACTTATTATTAGTTAATTGTAATTAATAAAACTAATCCAAAGTTATTATTGAATAAAATGGATATGGTCGGATCAGCGAATAGTGGATTGTCGTAAGACGCCTCTTAGTTATTATTACGCAGCAATTAGCGTTAATGGATAGCTATTACACAGAAACGATTGTATTTAGGTACTTATCAGCCCAAAATTAAATCATTCACGATTACGAGGAGTATGTATTACGTATTTGGTACAATAATGTGGGAGAAATTATGAAAATACATCATTAATGGACGAATTATGAAGCTCATCGTTGGCTTAACTGGCTGTGGGTTAGAGATAAAGTAGGGCCTCGAGCCAGTTGGTTACACATGCGAAAGTTGTTCATAATTCTGTTATGCTGTGAAACCAGATTACAATTTTGAAATGAGATTATTCTGCTTCAATCTCGCAGATTTTAATAACAACAATATTGGAATGTTTACTTTAAAAGTGCAGACAAAGCATTAATGTAAATTTTAGGAAACTAGAACATTATATACGTTAAAAGTATTGAGAGTTCTATGAATTTTGTGTTCAGAATTATCAAATACTGAATGAAATGCCTATGTAGGTACAGTATGTTTGACACAGTGAACCGTAAACGTAGTATAGGCAGGCATAGTAGGCATGTTAATACCGGTGTGACATTTAAAACCTACGCGTTCCGGGAGACACGTGGCTTCAATTCACAAATGGTGATCGCATCCAACGTAATGGACACTTTACGTAAAAACAGATTCTCTGCATACATTTACGAAAGAACTTGATTTAACGTTAACTTAACATCAATTTACTGTGAAAATATTAATTTTATTTCTCATAATACTCAGTTTTTTTCTATTTAATATTTATATAGAATAGTTATTTATGGAATAACAAGTAAATACATTTAATTTGCTAATGGTACATTTGGAGCCATATTTTTATCATAACTCTCACAATAAATGTGACTTATACAGGAGGTAGCTGATGTTCAGGTCAGGTTGATCTATGAGATTCTAATTTAAAAACGATATTTATCTGATAGCCCAATAGTAAGGAAACCTTTTCATAATTTTCTGTAGGAAACTATAGGAGCCGTCAAAGGGTTGTAAAGGAAACGAATGAAAGTGCATCACAACACAATGAACAATGTATACGTATAATGTAGTTAATGTTATGTTATCATGTTAGCTATCAGTATCGTTATTCGTAATTCATTATGCGTTCTTTAATATTACTTCGCGGTTTTCTTCAGCGGATCTTACAAATAGGATTAAGTAAAAGTTTCATACTGTAAGTCGCCGTCGCCGTAGAACAGACGCAAAAGCCGCACTTAGACCACAGTTAATTTGTTTTTATTGTAAAACTTTCTACATTTTCAGTATCCTCAACGGTTATATGGGCGGTATGTTGTATTTAGGATACGAATAAATATACTAAACGTAACTTACGTAGTATTCGTTTTACACAAACATAGTAACTAAATACTCATTGTGTATTACATATATTGCTGATAGAATGAATGGTATGTGTCAGCTGTGTTGTGACGGTAGAGTCCAATACATTTGCACACTTCAGAACTGTTCATTCATATTTAGGTATACCAACTTAATTCTTATAATACGCAAACGTAGGCAATATTTCAATCAACCGTAAAAAGGTCAGTAAACCTTGTTAACAATTTGGTATTGTTTTTCTCATACCTACATAAATCGTTTCGCTCGTATAAAGTCCAACTTAGAGTACTTAGTAATCAGACCTTTTGTCTCGGTAGACATTCATTGAATGAACTTCAATCTGGCCAATTAGGCCTGTTCAATAAATACATACTCTGTTTGTTTTGTTAATTCAAAAGGTCAATGAGCGCCAACCAGTGTACTTACTATGAATTGATCTCCCTGAACCCGTTAAGTTTATTAACAAAGCTGTAACAACTGCAACAAATTTTGAATTGCTCAGTCTTAATGTATTTTCTACGTTTGTTTCAGATTAAAGGCGTGAATAATTTCAAAAATAGTCTCTCTTAGAGACCTCTGAACTAAAACGGAAAGAAAAAGGTCCGTCCATTAATAAGCGGTGACGGTCAAATAATGTGGTCGGGCATGCGCCCAGCGGGTGCAGTCACCGGGTTGTGTACTTAGTAGCAGGAGATGCCCGTGTGGTGGGGACCGCGGGCGGTCAGCATGCGCGTGTGCTGCGTGACGACGGTGCTCGCGGCGCTGGCGCTGCGCTCCGCGGCCGAGCCGGCACCGCGCCGCTACCCCGCCGAGTGGCACAGTGGCCGCGAGCTGGCGCGCGCCCGCCCCCTCCAGGAGCTGTTCGAGGCTGAGCACGCGCCGCCTCCGCTGCCGCCCGGCGCACTTCACAACGAGCGCCGTCGCACGCGCACCAACAAGCGAGCCATGCACCAACTGCCCTCGGAGATAGCCAGCCAGATGATGTTGCGAGCTTCACGCTCCAACCGACCCTACGATGTGCCCCAAATTGGTAAGTAACTGCTTTTTAAGTGTAACTCATAAACGACCTTCTCCAGTATACGTGACTTACGTATGCATACTTAATAAAAATGTTAAAGCGTCCTATATGCAAATAAATTGTAATTAATAAAATGTTTAGGTAGTTAACACAAAGGCTGTATTAAAACTTTGTCCATAATTTTAGATATAGCTGAAGCCCAAACCAACAACAGCGGTCGGAAACATTGTACGCCGTAATCATTTGTGTTTTACTAGAGATTAAGGATGATTCTTCATACAAAGGGCTTTGCTAAGCTGGTGCTTATATTAGAAAGATATCACGTGCCTTTGTTTCGCCCAATCCCTTTTGGTGTGGTATTATTTGTAAAATGATACTGTGTATTAATAAAGATTTCAAATTAAACTCTAGATATAGCCAGTTGATCGGATTAACTTCATCGGTAGTCGATGAACGACAATCAAACCGTAATTTAAGCTTACGTGGCACGAACAGTTGCGGCAAATGTGGTTGAAATCCCGAAGGCACGACAGCTGACAATATCCTGTCGCCGGCAGAATACGTCACAGCTCTGCACTGGCTGTTGCTAATTATAAGCAAGTGTGGGATGTCACTCTTATCTGGATACACTGCAGCGAGTGTATTTAGAGCACCTCGTGAATATCATACAACCGCAGACTAACCACTGAACATGTTAAGCTATACTGTTGTGGTCGACACAATATGGTTGGATGGGTGTAAAACACGTTAAGCTAACTATCGTCTTCTTTATAATAGCCTCATTATAATACCTACTTACGTAGTTTTTACAAAATCTAAGTTGTTCTATTATAGGGTAGATGCCTAATTTTTATTTCTATTGTCCGTCTGGTAGATTGTTTTAAATCATTAGACACGTATTTTTAATTTTCTTAGAGAAACTAATACTTTCGTCGATTCGATTTGAAATGTCGCGTGACGTCATTTCTATGTACATTTTATACGTAGAAATGACGTTTTAGCCCCCACTCCTAAACTTTGATTCGTTTTATCTAAGTATTGTTTTATTATACGACAAAATAAAAAAATACGTGTCTAATAATTTTTCATTACCTACCTTACGGACTAATTATGTTTTTAATTTTCATACCCTGTCATTATCCTAATTCTAGTATTTTTACTGACCTGCTGAGTTATATGTAGTTTAATAGCACAATTTAAGAAAAACATTGTATGTTCAAAAAGCTTATCGCTTTCAATTTGAACTTGTTTAAAAAAAAATATACTAAATACATACACACATACGTACTAACGTATGTATTAGCTTTCAATACAACCCTTACTCATTTACGACTCACTGACGCAAAAGGAAATGCGGCTGATACACTTTATACCGCACTCACGAAACTTAATGAACCATTAACTAACGATTACCTGAGGCCACTCACCACATCTATCCAATCTAAAGGGTCTACTGTAGAAATTCGAACGGCTATTTCATCTCAAAAAGGAGTTAAAATCTCTCTCATTTTTAGTTACCTCGTTAGTCTACCACAAAATGAAAAAAAAACGGTGATAAGTGCTTAATTAAGCAACATAAAGATAAACTGTTTCGAATGAACAAAAACGCCTGTAAAAACTCCGTTTAATCAATTTTAACTAGACAAAACAACGCAGAACAAAAAATCTGTTGTTCAAACCAAATCCCATTAATTTTCACATAGGTATATTTCGCATGTTTACAACCAATTATGGAAACCACTGAAGCCGAGCTTTCTTTGAAAAGAAAATGTTAAATTAATTAAATACGTAGCTACAAACTCTGTGCAATGCGACATTTTTAAATTTTAACGTTTATTAGTCTTTCGATCACATTTAAGTGAATGTATTTAGATACATTGTGATATGCTGGCTCATTGGCCAAATGGTCGTAAGTGGGACTGCCGGGCAAGGGGTCTCGGGTTCAATTCCCGGGTCGGGCAAAGTATTACTGGGTATTTTAAATATTCTCAGTAGTAGCACGGAGTCTGGAATTGTACCCGGTATATGGCAATAGGCTCATCTCCAATTACATGGGACTCATAACATAAATAGTAAAAAGTGAGTGTTACATTGTACAGTGGCATAATGTGCACCTCTGCCCTTCCCTTCGAGGATAAAAGGCGTGATCTTATGTTATGTTATGTGATTTGCTCCATAACTGTTAAGCTGGAAAATATTAGTTGGAAAGTAAAGGAAATATGAAGAAGTGAATGAAAGGTTTCAAGTGTGGACGTTAAGTGTGTCGGGGGGAACGCATTTATGTATTATAGGGTAGTCACGAAGACGGCACGTAATGTGTGAAGCGCGGAGCCCCCAACAGATCCGTGGGACACGTAGCCAGTCTTCGATTGAGAAGCGACGCACCACGTACAAGTCTAGAACGTGACACCCCTACCAATACCCCGGCCGTATTTATGTTTTTCTCCTCGGCAAACTTTCGTTCTAAATATAGAACGCGATATCGTCGCTACGATCATATTATCTCAATTGTATCTACATAAAAACAATACGAATATAACGTGATGGTGATAATTTTAGTACCTACGCACTTTCAGCGTATAATTCACATTTCAATTTAGATTAGGTAATAGACATACATACAGAAGACATGTTTTTACATTATCTATAGTGGTTGTCAAGTATTCGTGTGTTAGAAACCATTTTAGATTTAATATCTTTGAAATCATGTAAATCGTAAATTCTAATTTGAGGTTAGACTACTATTTCCAATTCTAAGAAATCCGTTTATAAACTCGCTAGAAGGTCTTCAGTAACAGACGAGCTTAAAGATTTCATTAAATTGCCGAGCGCCGTAATCTAGTGGAGCCGCTAGTTTACCTACTTAATTGTATTAGACTTCAAAAAGAACCACAAATCTGTTAATCAGGATAGTCGTTTTATTTTTTAAGTAAATATCTTGTTTTGACATGTTCCTTATTTTGTTTTTACTCCAGTAAACAAAGCAAATGTATTTAATTATCTATAATTGCCTCTTCAACAGTCAAATCATCAAAAGCCTTATTTCAACAATGGGTACAATAATACAAAAAACAACTTTCTAAACGTGCCTCAGAAATATAAAAATATTCAGCCTGTATATTTTAAATGCCTTTGTGTGAAAAATCGTTGTTATTTATTTTTGTGTCACAGCTGAATGGTTTAGCATGATTGCTTAGATAAATAAATAAATAAAATAAATAAAAATAAAAAAAATAAAAAAAAAATAAAAAAGCCTGTATTTCTCTTAAGACAATATACAAAATTTGTTCCATAATATTTATTAACTAATTTGCTTGTTTCTTATTGTGTTAGGTAAATTGTTGTATTTAGTCAGCGAGAACCCTTTTGCAGGTAAAGGCCTCCTCCAAGTTTTGCCAATCGTCTCTTGACTTCGCCGTTTGTATCCAGCGTGATCCAGCTATTTCTTTAATTTCGTCCTCCCATCTTTTGTGAGGTCTACCTCTTTTTCGTTTTCCTGCCGGGCCTTTCCACGTTGTGATGCTTTTAGTCCACCTTTGATCTTGGAGGCGTGCTACATGTCCAGCCCATTTCCATTTCAGTGATAGAGCCTGTGTTAGACCGTCTGTTGCTTTAGTGGTATTTCTAATTTCCGTATGTCGTATTTTTTGTATTTTTTTGATATTTAACATACTTCTCTCCATCCCGCGTTGGCATGTTATAATTTTGTTTTTGACCTTTGTAGTAAATTTCCATGTCTGGCAAGCATAGATCAGGCAAGGGATAAGACAGGAGTTCATCGTTTTGGTTTTAAGCTTAATAGGCATTTTACTCTTAAATATTTCTCTTAAGCTCCAGTATTTGTTCCACGTTATCTGTGCCCTGCGCTCCACTTCTTGGTAGTTATTTGAACCATCAAAGCTTATTTGTTTGCCAAGATAGATGTATTGGTCAGTGTATTTAAGTGGCTCGCAGTCTACAAGTATTGGTATCTTGATATTGTTGGTCATTAGCATGGTTTTTGAAAGGTTCATCTCTAATCCTGCACACTTACTAGCATAATCTAGAGACTCTACCATGTACTGTAGCTCTGTACCATTTTCTGAAATCAGGACTAGATCGTCGGCGAAACGAAGGTGATTTAGATATTTATTTTCGATCCTAATGCCTCGTTTTTCCCAGTCAAGTTTTCTTATTATTGATTCTAGAGCTGATATGAAAAGTAGAGGTGAGAGCGGGTCGCCCTGTTTTACTCCCCTTTCCACTAGAAACCATGGGCCAGTTGTTTCCAGTCTGATTCTGCTTTTGCTGTTGTTGTATAAGCTCTTAATTACTTGGATATATTCGTTCTCCACATTTTGTGATGTTAAAGTTTCCCAAATGAAGTTATGAGAGATGGAGTCGAATGCCTTCTTGTAGTCCACAAAAGCCAAGTAGAGTGGTCTTCTTTTCTCCTGATATTTTTCGATAAGAAGTTCCAGCGTGTGTATGTGGTCGATTGTTGAATATCCTTTTCTAAACCCAGCTTGCTCTATCGGTTGGCTCTTCTCTAATGTAAAGCTTATTTTTTTATTTAATATTGTGGAAAAGAGCTTATACAATGTCGGCAGTAGGCTTATGGGTCTATAGTTACCTATGTCCTCAGGGTCGACTTTTTTGTATAACAAAATTATGTTAGATTCGGACCATTGGGTGGGTGTTTCTCCAGTTTCGATGATATAGTTAAATAAGTTTGTTAAAGGCATAACGAGTATTGGGGTAGCCAAATGTAGAGTTTCGTTTGTTATGTAATCCGAACCTGGGCTTTTGTCTGGTTTAAGTTTTTTCACTGCTTCTATGACTTCCATTTCTTCTATTTGGGTTTTATTTAAATTTCTATGCATTTGGCTGGTAATTCGGGATTCTATGTTGGTGTTTGTTGGTTCATTAGCGCTGTATAGCTCCTTGTAAAATGTGGTTGCTATTGTGATGACGTCACTGCGGTTGTTTTTTGTGATTTTTCCTTTTTTTAACCCTTCTATCCAAGATTTGTG